CAGCAGGCGGCCGCGGGCATGGGCTTGGGCAAGGACATGGGCGCCCAGTACGCCGCCGCCAGCCCGGCCTGGGCGGCCGCGCAACAAAGGAGCCACCCGGCGATGAGTCCCGGCACCCCGGGCCCCACCATGGGCAGATCCCAGGTAACCCCCGCGCCGGCCGGGCCTGCTTCCGCCGCGGCCTCGGCGCGCGCCGCGAGCCCTAGTTTCTTTCTTTCCGCGTACTTTTTCTGCGTCTTCTGTTGGGGGAGGCGGGGGCGAGGCGCCCAAAGCCATTTTAAGTGGCAGCCGTCTCCCTGAGAGGCTGGGAGCGCACGGTGTCGGAGCGCGCGGCCCGGGGGCCTGGCGAGGGGGTCTGGCCGAGGGCCGGGCCGGGCCGGGCGCTGGCACTGCCGGCGGCCGAGCACCCCGCCTTGCCACCCCACCCCAGGCCCGGGCCGCGCGTGCCGGAGCCGGGGACGGCGCCGCCAGCCAGCCGTGTGGGCGCTGGGGACGGTCCGGCGGCTTTTGTAACCGGATCGGCACTCCCGGCCACTACGGTCTAGGCAGGAATATTGACCCCGTCTTCTCGGTTAGCGCCGACAAGACGCTTTAACTGGGGAAAGAACGAGGAACTTTGTCCTACCTCCAGCCACACCACGTTCCCTCTTAGCTTCCAAGGTGAAGGCAGGAAAAATAGGTTAGCTTTGTGGCAACCGAGTGTGTTTTTTTTCCTAGTTATGCCCAGCCATTCAGAGATAATTCGATGCGGGCTTTGAGTTGGAATGTTTACTAGCAAAAATAATACCCAAATGTACAACGATGTGAGGTGAAATGTTCTAAAATCTATCGATTCATTCCTAAGAATAGCCAGGAAATCTATTATTTGGCTTACGGGCTGCTTGGAAGGAGTCACCTTCAACAGCTAGGCTGTGTTAAAGGAGCACAGCTCGGTTACGTTGAACTTATTTTGATCATGGATTTGGCATACATGTTATTCAGCAAGTACGGGAAAATATCAGGTCAGTGAAAATTGATCATTTTGGATCGGATTTATTCGGATTTTCTTTAATTTGCTGTCCCCCAAGTCCCGCAGCGTTATTAGGAAGTGTCCTGCACTCTTGCCGTTTCTTGCTCGTAGGCTGAGCCTAAAGACTGACTTGATCTCCTTTGCAAGGTTTGGAATTTGAATTGTGGAGGTAAACTGGCTGTAATAGTCTCCAGACAGCTGCCTCTGAGTTGACATCTAATCTGCCATCTGATTGGCTCCCCTCTCACCATTGGGCATTTAGCACTGCTGATGTAAATAGAAGTGCTGAGCAGTACAGTCACAAAATTCTTGCCACAAATAATAACTGAGCTCTATTACAAGCAGATGTAAGGTTGAGTGTTATTTAAAGCGTAACTTATTGTGAATCAGATTTATTAGTAAGAGAATTAAATACATAAAAACGTTCCGCTAGTGTCCAGTATTCGGCATTTACAAAATTCAGACCTTTGATAATCCTAACATGGACATTGCATGTGTCACAGCCCTTATTGTAGAATGAGGATATGGCAGTTAGAAAATAATTAAATAAAGGATTTTTACCAATTTTTTGGATTTGTTAAGCTTTTATAAAAATACCTTTTACAGATTAAACTATGAAAAAAATGTGAATTGTTATCACACAGTTGAATGTGAATTTCAAAGTTATACTATTAAAAATGTCAAGATTCTGATATACAACAATACCTTTTAGTGAAATTTAATTAGCTTTATAACAAGATTAAAGCTATATTTCTAGTAATTTCTTTTTTAACAATTCTGACCGTTTTGTTTATGGATGAGGTGTTTTAGTTAGAATTGACATTATATTTAAAAAACATGAGGTGAGAAAACTATGTAATACAATAATTAAAAGGGAAAAATGGATAGTCTTGTGAAATACTAAAAGTCATTTTATATTTGCTTCTGATTTGGAGAATACAGAAATGTCCCAAGAACCTTTTTTTTAACCCTTGATTATTTTGTTAAATTAACTAACGTGAGCCTTATTTGAACTGCTTACACAATGAATTAGGGAAACTATATTACATTCAAGTTATTCTGTGTTTCTTCCAAATACTTTGTTTTTCCACAGACATCTTCATGCTATGAAAGGTTTCAAAATTTTAATCTGTGATAAAGAAATAACAGTGTTTGTAACGTATATTTTTACTCAGCTCATTTGTTTAGGAAGGTGTATTTTAATAATAATCGTATCTTAGACGAAAGACTTGTCTGAGTCAGTGAAGGACTGAATTGAATAGATAATCATGTGAATCCCAGGCTGAGGACGTTAATGTCCACTGCTTTCAAATCTTTAGTTAGTGGAGTTTTACTTTTAATGATAACGTATATTTTCCTATTATTGATAAAAAACTTGCCATTTCAATTTTTATTTTTGATTCTCACAAGTAAAAACATTATACAGAAGCCTTGTGTAAATCAACCCACGTAATTCATTTTAAAAAGATTTGCTTTGTCAGCTTGCTTTTAAAGGAACAGTGTAAAATTCGTATCTTTGTAAACTAGAAATGAAAGGATGACAGAAGCACATGTAGGTCCATGTTACTTTAGAGTATTATTTCTTAATGGTACCAATCATTTTAAGTATTTTGTTTTCTTGGAATGAGAGTGAATCCATTATGTCCTCAGTGTGACCCTTGGGAATAGCTTTTTTATTTTTGTGGGGGAAGAAAAATGATAGACATATGACCTAGATTCACAGATTTCTTTTAGGTACATCACCGTATAGCATGTGCAATGTGTCTTTTAAATTTTTTTTTTTGGAACGTTAGTATTATTTAGTATTTGTTATGGTAATTGTACTAAGAAACAGTCATTGGTACAAAATATTAAATTGCTTCATAACTATAGGTCATAAAATCCTATTAAATCACATTGTTAAATGATGAAATTTTCTTGTGGCTTTAAACACATTTAGTTTCATTTTTGATTTTAGGAAATGGTTTATATTGGGTGGCCAATGTTTTTGTATTTGGGAACAAAACATATGCATGTATTGTAGGAGGAGGGTCTTTGAAAAGTGAAATATGCCATTTTATGATACAGTTTTGGGTTTTTTTGAGATAAAGTGTTCAGATTCAGTCTCAAAAGGAAGACTGAAGTCTACTCATATAACTAAGATTTTATAATGTCCACATTTATGCTGAATTCAAGTAATTCTATTTTAATTTTAGTTTTATAGAATGCAATGCAATGTAATAAAAAAAAGAATATTATTTACCATTAAAAGAAAAGTGATTAGCTGTCTTACAAGCAGGAAGTTAGACTGATTCCTGATTACCTTAAAATTTGTATAAGATACATTATAACATAACATGACTTCCCACTTCCCCTTCCAATGAGATCTTACCCTATCTGATATTTAAAATCGCATAAAGAAATTTTTGTGGCCTAAATTTATATATTTGCCGAGGTATGGCTGGCTCTCTGCTCTGTCGTCAGAAGATGTGGAATTGGCAACTGTGGTTCATAGAAAAGGCCTATCATTTAAACAACAAAGAAAATATAACAAAAATGCCTACAGTTTTCTGTTTTCCTAGGTTATCTGGCATGAAATTATGCATAGTTTAAAACTGTTTTCATTGGAGATCTTGATTTCTGGGTAGTTACTTTTGACAGTCTTTTTTTTTTTTTTTCTTTTAAATGGCAACAATTCTCTAAGACAGCTATCACTTAAATTTACATTTATATTAACATAGAATCAATAAGTATATTCCAGGGAAAAACATTCTTACTTTGGATCTATAATGAGGAATCTTAATCTCTCTTTTCTTTGGTTTTGATCTATATTTAGGAATGAATTTTTGGCAAAGCTTTTTTTATACTTGTTCCATTTTTCCCTGTGTCATATTATCAGAAGTGTGTAGCTACTATCTAAATATTGTGTTCTTTCATTAGACTTGAGAGAATAATGTCTTCACTTTTGTATAAAAATAGCAATAATTCTGATTTGAGAACTGCTTTTAAAAATGTAAGAAATGTAGGGGAAAACTTAATATAAACTCATTTGGTAATTTTATTAGACACAGACACATATTTAAAAAGATAGGTGTAATAGAATGGGTTTGGGTTTTCAGTTCTATTTCTTACTAATGAACTTTATTACTTTATAATTTAGGGCAGGGTGTATCTGAAACTATGACGTCTGATGTAATAGGAACATACTTACTTCCCTAGGATAAATACCAATATGACAGGCAAACCAAAAAGACGATCGTTGCATTTATTTAACCCTGTCCTCTCCTTGGAAGAGAGTGGTTTGATTTAAAATTTGTTGGAGTTGGTGAAATTTTGCTTCTTATTTGAAGACTGATTTGGAGATGTAAATTTTGGATGTATTGGCATAGGAAATTATATTAGCTTTTTGCCCAGTGTCCTAAATAATGGAGACTTTTCTCACTGCACTGGACTGACACTGATCAGTTAATGGATCTGTGTGCTTTGATCCGTATTTGTGGAAAAGGAGCTAATATTTTACTTTTGTTGCTTTCATTTTGATGTGTAGATTTGTAAATTTGAGGCATATATTTATGTTTGAAAGAATTGTTGTGTGTTACTTAAAACAACTGATTTATGGAGGTGCAAAATGAATATTAATAAAACTCATTCCATTTTTTTTTTCTGTATTTAGATTTTGAAAATGGATGTCAAAATTTTTGTGACATTTTACAATGCTGTTTATACTTAAGGGGCCACATCCACATCATAGGCCTTTTTGGAATGGGCTAGTTTTCAGTCTTATGCCTTTTCAGAGGTGTTTTTTCTTTATCAGGAGATTTGTGCAGATTCTCTAGATATGTAAAATAGAGCCCCACTTGCTGTATATGCATGCTTGAGACTGAGTAATCCCAAGTCCTGGTTCCCTGTGGCGAGGGGGAGAAGTACCAGGCAAAACTAATCATCCATCAAGGGTATGTTTATATATCATAAATGTAGACCTGTTATGCAGTATTGCTTTTTCCAGTTTGGAGGCTATTTATACAAGCCTAAGTGGCCCTTTTTGGCCTAATTGGGTGAGTGAATGAATTAATTTTGATCTAAAAACTTGGTATACTTTAGTGACTTTTTCTCTTAAAAATTTCATAGAAAATGATTTAGGTATCATTAAATGTCC